TCTACAGAGGAGCTGGTCAACAGAAGACTGAGAAAGGGGATGACTCAGTACCATTCCCCTCCTTAGTGACTATTGACCATTAACATTTTTTTCTGAAATGAATATGCCTGAAGTAAAAGACACATGTTGCACTTATGCCCTTATTTAAGGTGAAAATCCTCTAAACGATATGCCAAAAAGGGATTGCAGACTTAGCTTTCTAATTGTACTTCCTTAATGTCAAAACTTGTTTGCTTTTTTAAGTTTATATCAAAGCTATATAATGATAAAAGAAAAAAGGAGAGTAACCCAAATACCTTCCAAGTGGCAAAAATAAGTCAACTCAAGATTCACTATTTGCAGTGCATAAACCACAAATTGATAAACCACAGGTAGACAATAGGGCAAATAATGGGGGAGAGAAGTCTTTTTCAAAGACTGAACCATATGAAATGACCAACATACAAAAAATGCATTTTCATGTTTTATATGTTCCTTAGAAGACCACAAATAATAAGCAGTAAATCTCTGCAAAGAATTTCTGTGCCGCTGACCTGCTTTTTGTCCAACCTTAACAGTAATTAGCAAAGAGAAGGATTTCTTCCACCCCTAAGTACATTTGTATATAGCCTGACCATTGGAATACAAGCCTTCGCCCCTTAGACACCAAAATAAAGCACTTTTTCAGGTTCATCTGGACCTCTGTTTCACCACAGAGGAACAACCAAAGCAATTTCAGAACTTCAGAATTTTGTATGCACCAAGAAAATGTGGTTACCTGACCCCCGGGAGGTCCCTAGAAGGCCTGGGCAAGTCTCTACAAGTTGTTGCTATGAAGGCCAAGGAAAATCTTGAGCTGCAGGGAATCCTGTCCAGGCTCACTTAGTGCTCCCTACAACCGAAAAATCAGTTTGCTCTCCCCAATCACCATGGGGTCTCTAGTGGCTTTCCAAGAAGATTCCAAAAGGACCCAAAGTTAAGAAAGAAAAAAAACTGGCCAGGCAAATCCTCATGATGCTGGGTAGTTTTCAAGGGCAAAATGATCCAGAAAAATGCAAATAGTTCAGGCTCCCTGAAGAGATTCCAGGCAAATACAGCCACTGCTCTAATGCACTTGACTGCTAACCAGAAGGCTAGCGGTTCAAACCCACCAGCCACTCCTCGGAAAGAAGGTTGGGCAATCTACTTCCGTAGTGATACTGCCTCAGAAATCCAAGGAGGGGTCGCCATGAGTCGGGTCCAACTCAACAGCACATAACACCACGACAACAGTTTAGAAGCTTGGATGAAGAGGTTAGAAGCACAAGGCAGGCGGATTCTAACTTACCACTGAGTGTTCCTTGTCCTCATTTCATATGGTCACTTAGACTCCCATGCAATATATGAAATGCAGCAATCACTTGTGTCTGCTGCTGCTGCTGTACCCTTTTCAGCAATTTTGGGTCTCACCAAACTTTTCAAGTTTACATAAAAATTAACATGCCTTCTTTCCAGCACTTGGGGCAGGGCGATGCTAAGTATCACTCAAAACAGAAACCACCCCCTGCCCCCATGAATTTGCTATAAAAGCAGAGGTAAAATTGAGTCTCAATTAAGGCATTCAGATTTGACAGCTATTTTGGAATCTCTGGACAATACCACATAAATTTTAGCCTTTAGCAAAGTCCTCTCACTCATTTTTCATTCTCTTTCCTCATGCTTCCCTTGAAACTTGTGCCTGACTGTAAAAACAGTGTTCTTATTTTTATTTTAAAGTGGCCTCACCAGGATTCTCTCAGTCAAGCGTGATCCTGCAACAAGAAAGCAGCCATCTTCCTGCTGTGGGATCTTTGTTGTTGTTGTTATATGCTGATTAAATTTCTCACCCCATAAGAACCCAAATTACAGAATGTGTATTAATTTTAAAATATAAGAATAAAATGCATTGTCATTTCATAAACCGAATTAAAGAAACTTTATTCCAAAGAACAAAATAATTGAAAATTTTCTTTAACGAGTGTTACTCTGTTGTCAAAGCACTCTTTTAACCTAAACTAAGTGTTCTAAATAATATTAAAACAAGTCAACTCAAAACTGGCATTAAATAATAATAATAATAATAAAAAAAATATATATATATATATATACA